CCGAGCATTCTTGTATATGATGTGGGTGAACTAGCTGCTCACAATTTCTCCTCGGCCACCCTGTAAGAAGGCCCGAGACCAGTTGGGTGATGAAAACAAGAAAGCCTATCCCATTTTCACCCTCTGCAGCAATAGCAGAATCAGCATAAGGAAAATGAGATGAGTAATGTTACTGAACAATGTGAAGACCCGTACGCTACGCTGCATTATTACTGAACAATGTGAAGACCCGTACGCTGCGTTCTTTAAGTTAATAATGGGGAAACTATGTAAAGGTACATCTGGTGATATGGCGATAAATAAATTGCAGCAGAGAAAAAAGATCCTTTCCCACCCGAGTCAATCAAAGTTGATGATAGATACTTAGGAATGGCAATGGATTACGAATTCAAGAAGACCGTACTTTCAAAGCGATATCGCCAAAAATTGTATTTGCTTTTGATCGCGGTCACCAAAAAACGACACCGCATCGGCTTTTCACAAATACATTGACATTTGAAAACCTTTTCGGGACCGCGTTCTTGATGCCGATACCCCACTATACCGGCCTGCATTTGTTATCCATGCTTACATTGCCTCACCATGTGAGTTAAATACTTGTAGATACATTTGTCATACGTGCCGTACAAACTGTTAGCCCACACATGCGTCAGACATTATAACGTTATTGCCATTATGTGCAACATCACAGTCCATCACAGTCCATCACAACAGCAAAATACCTCATTTATATTTCACACCGTGTGCAGTGCTCTCCAACCACGATCCTTGTTCACCCTTCCCCTGTTTTTAAGAGGACATGGAAAACGGAATACCTTATTATTATTATTATTATTTTGTTTTACATCGGAAGCTCAACAGTGCAGCTGCACAAATATGAAGAGGCCGATGGGACCAAAAATATATATATATATATAAAAAAATAAATAAATAAACAATGTATATACATCAGTGTATATGTTCATACATCAGTGTAAATGCCTTGAAACGCCATTAGATTTCAGCTTGATAATTGCTGCATTCGCCACCAAGGTGAAAAGGCATAGTGGTGGCCTGCGGAAGCGAAGGCTATAGCTTGCATGTTTCTGAACATTAAAGTGATGCTAAAGCCGATCTCACGAATATTATTATTCCCGTAGCTATGCAGAAGACGTTACTTCAGTAACGTCTGGCGCTAGCCAGGGTCCACACAGCTTTAATTCCCGTAGCTATGCAGAAGACGTTACTTCAGTAACGTCTGGCGCTAGCCAGGGTCCACACAGCTTTAATTTGGTGTTTGTTTGTTTGTTTGTTTGTTTGTTTGTGTCACGCCTGGCGCTACCCCGTATCTGTCCCGTACCGCACCATCAAACACAACTGGCCATTTGCTCGCTTCCGTATCGGTCCCGTACCGTACCGTACCATCAAACACAGCTGGCCACAAACAGCTGGCCACAATATTGGTCGTATTATGTACATGTATACGACTCCCTGTGTGTTGCAACTGTGCTTGCAGGGGACGGTTGCACTTTTTGTAGCTCCGTTTTATCTGAGTTTTCAGTCGTTCCTCTTACATGTACTAGTCTTGCCAAGGGAGTGGCTCTAGGTCCACCAGAGTCGCCCCTGGCGTGTTTCTGAATTTGCTGGGGCGAGGGTTCCCGTCGCCAAGGCAGTGTCTTTTCAGTCACGACCGTTGTCGTCCTCGTCTTTCCATTCGCGGTAGTGTAGCTGACCCCCGAATGGTTTCAAACTGCGAAGCTCGGAGGAGTATAGTGGTGGCAGAGGCATGAGCTGTGAGTGGAGGCGGTTACTGGAGATGGATGGTGATGCAGGGAGAAGAGTTACGCTGCCTGACGACGCGTGGGAAATTGTTTGAACCTGCAATTGCAGTTCGAGCGCGGTGGACTCCTAGACGATGTGTCCTCATGGCTGTTCTTCAACGCTTGGCCTATCGCTGATATCCCTGCGTGGGATGTTCTTCCATTGGAGTCGAGGTGGGACTTCAGGTGCCCATACTCCATCACATGGTTGATTGTTTCTGAACTGCAAAAATAATTATTGTTTCCTTTTTTGTGCGCATCTCTTGTCATCTCTCTTTTCTATACGTCGCACACCAGATGTACTACTATCGCTGTCTTTCCCTTGCTATCTCTCTCTGCTTGCTGTTTTTTGTTTCTGTTGCCACTGTCCCTCATCATACCCATGCTTGGGTGGAGCGCGGCGTGACCCGGTAGGGTAGCTGTCAATAGAGTACGACTCCCTGATGTATAGGGAGACTTTCTGGAAAGAAATAGGAAGACGAGGAGGAAATAATAATTATTAGAATGGATGTTAGTTGCCGAATAGGTGATAGGATGCGTCAGCAAAAACATACTTTGGAAGAGAGATCCCGTCGTCCCCAAAATAGGCGTGAACGGGCGAGTCAGCGCCGGTCACAGGAAACGTCGGGAGAGAGATCCTGTCGACTCCAGAACGCCCGTGCGCGTGATCGGCAGAGTCAGCGCCGTCCCAGGAAACATTTCCATCAGTTCCCACAACATGCACGATGAGCTAAGCAACAAATCGTAGCGTAGGGCCCTGAGCTTCCAAGCTCTCTCGTTTGGTGTTTGTGTGTTTGTGTGTTTGTGTGTTTGTGTGTTTGTGTCACGCCTGGCGCTATCCGTATCTGACGGCAAAAAAGCATAGGATGTTATAATTTTTTCAATTCTCCTTTTTTTTTCAGGCATATCCTGGGATTCGAACCCGCACTATCGCCCTACATGCATTCCCCCATACACGTCGCATTCATACCCATTCTTCCAAGTTGCTTCACGTTATGATCTTGCGTTTGAAAGCCCTATTTGAATATTGCGGGCAGCTTTATGTGGCCAGCTGTGTTTGATGGTACGGTACGGGAGACAGTGTCGTATTACCCTCGATCGTACCTGTCCCGTACCTATCCCTTACCGTACCGTGCCATCAAAGACGGCTGGCCACAATGCATATTCAAATAGGGCTTTCAAATGCAAGATCACAATGTGAAACAACTTGGAAGAATCAGTATGTATGCGAAGTGTATCGGGGGATGCATGCAGGGCGCGCGATAGTGCGGGTTCGAATCCCAGGTTATGTCTAAAAAAAGGATTTTTTTTAAGAATTTATAACATCCCCATGCTTTTTTTGTCTAGGTCATCAAGGCAAAAAAGCATGGCGTAGGGCCCTGAGCTTTCAAGCTCTCTCGTTATTATTAATTGATATCACGGTTCCAAAGTCATTATGTGTTTTCCATGGTCCACATGTATTTGTGCTCTAGATCAGTTTGAGTGGCGTGTTTGTATCTGTGTCTTTGTGTCCACAATGCGTGTATGTGCTGGCGCTGGTGTCTGTGGCTGTATTCTGTTGTATGCTGTATTCTGTTGGGTTCAATTTAGAAGTTGTTGTTGTTGTTTATTTATTTTACATCGCATGTCAAACGGGCAGTTCTGCCCAATATTATGAAAGCGATGACAACCAGTAAGAAGAGTCAGAAATGAAGAGAAAAGGAAATAAAAATAAAAATACGAAAATGGAAGTAGCAATAAGGGGAGGCAGGGTCAAGACGAGCAGAAAAATGGATCTCACATTTACAAGTCGGGTCATCGTAACATGATTCTATTGAGCCTCATCAATAGGTTACGAAAGCCATTACATTTAACTGAAGTAAAATACGCGCAGCATGCGTTTGAATTCACGGACAGATACTATGGACTTCATACAGTCGGGCAGGCCATTCCAGAGTCGGCAGCTGGCTAGAAGCGGTCGGCATGCGACAGAAGCACTGAGGGCCAGGGGAGGGGAAGGTTGCGTCCCAACTGACCTGGAGTGGTCATGCCTGTCGGCGGGCCTTGCAATACCATTCGGGACGACAACAGCTCACTGACGATTCCAGAACGGATTCTAAATGTCAGGAGTCGGAGCTTGCATTCTCCTCGTTCCAGCACTGGGCAGACACCCAGCCTGGTGTACAGGGGAAGAGTGTGGGCCAATGGGTGCGCAACGGATGCAACGTTTATCCAATTTGGCTACTGTGTTCCGCTGCTCAGCGGACAGTCCTGGGAGAAACGCATTCGACGCATATAGAATATCCGATATGACAAGGGCAGAGTAATACACCATCGCCTGCCGCACTGTTAGGCAGTGCCGGATCTGGCGGAGGATCCGCAGCTTCATAGCCGTGCGTCGGACGATAGAGGTGACTTGAGGTGACCAGAAGTCAATCATACGAATCCAACGATTGCAACGGACAAGATCTATTTCGTTAACTACTTCACCCTGAACTTGAACTGAATGCACCAAGCACTGCACTGAGTTTTTAAATCACTGTTCCCTCTGTATTTGATCGTTATCACCAGATCTCGTAGGTAGGTATGACGATAAATATATTGCAACAGAGAAAAACGTCCTTCGCCACCCGAGTCAATTCATGTTGAAGACAAATATTTTGGAAGGCCAATGGATTACGAATTCAAGAAGAACGTACTTTCAAAGCGATATCGCCAGAAGTGTGTTTCCTTTGATTGTGGTGACCAAAAAATGACATGGCTTTGGCTTTTCAAAAATACATTGACATAATGAAAACTCGCCGGGACCGCGTTCTTGCTGCCGATGGCTCGTTTTTCTGGCCTTATTTTTTTATCCATGCTTACATTGCCTCACTACCTGAGTTCAGAAATGTACCGGTAGATACATTTTCCATACGTGCTGTACAAACTGTTAGCCCACACATGCACCAAACATAATAATTATAACGTTTGTGCCTTTATGTGCAACATCACAGTCCATCATAATACCTCATTAATATTTCACACCGTGTGCAGTGCTCCCCAACCAAGATTCTTGTTCATGTTTTCCTTGTTTTTGCGAGGAAAAAGGAATACCTTGCTTGCGAATAAAATCGCACCGGCAGATCATAGAGCTGTTTTAAGGTCTCCACGTCGTTAGCTGAAAGCGCATGTATCTGTAGACATTATAGCGTTCAATGTACTGTGTTTTCTCGACTGCAGCAGACAGTCTATACACACTTGGCACAGTGATCGGCGCTGGTATTGGCGGGATGATGTTTGGGATATTAGCATTAACGTTGGTAGCCGTAATAGTGTATCGGAAGATGCAAAGCATACCGGTCAAGACTGAAGTTCCGAGTCACACACAAAATGCAGCATACGAAGACGCTGATATTGCTGAGAGTTCCCTCACCAAAAGTGATGCTTACGGAGTTGTAGAATCCTCGCCACAACCACAGTATGAATTGGTCTGCCCACAGTAACTGATTAGTCACGTGACATTCGGCTCTGTAGTTTGGGCTGCTTTTCCTCATTCTCTGACCCCGTAAAGGTTCCCTCGGAATACATTCTTTCAATTCTACCCTGGTGTATTTTATTCAGGCTAGATTTTCAAAATTTGTACTTTTGCACTTCCTCACTCTGGGGCATTCTGTACCATATTCATATAATTATCATAATATCTTGGCAGAAGCATTCTGTTTCTTCAGCGAGTTGTTTCTGGGAATGTGCCGTTGTTCAAGGCAAGAATGGTTCACCCACCTTTAAATGTTAACCTTCTTTCCTTCTGGTAAACAATGCAATTCAAATGTATGCTTTGTAGTAACATAATCCTTATCGGAACCCAAAGCTCCTCCATAGCGAAGCTCATTGCCATACTGCAACTAATCCCCCTCTTCGTAAAAGAAATGTCCTGTATTGCTCCTGTCATTAACAATGCTAGCTTTTTGTCTAGGGCTCTACTTGATACATGAATACGTGCTGTTCTCACTCAAATGATTTTGTTATGCTGCTCTGTCTACAACATTCTCTGTTTAGCTGCATACGCACTCCTCGCCTCGTCCCTATCTCTAATACCTTTCCCCAGAAAAATCTCACATTTCCGGCATAAAACTGGTAAATATTTCTATCCCTTTTCCAGATGCGTTTCGTCCACATAAGGCCATTAATTCGTCACTCTGCTGACACATTATGATGTAATCAATGCAAAGAGCTATGTGAGCATTTTTGTGAAGATTTCCGTTTGCGTTTTCTCACAAATATGTTGAGGGACGGTAGTGGGACCGCGTGCCACCGTTGAGCATGTGCTGATATTAAATATTAATTGTCAATATCAGTACACAGTTCTACCTTATTTGCAAAGCACATATGACGTCAGGGTTGATATCAGTGCAAATTTGGTAAGACAAATGAGACGTGTAGCTAGAAAACCATTAGGACAGATTAAATTTGCGTGCACAGCCATTGGTTGAGAATACCCAGAAACGAAAGTGTCTCTCCATTGTTGTCAGATGTACATGTTGATAGTTTTCGTGTGGATCAACATACAGCATGAGCCGTAGTTGGTTTCGTGTGCATCAACATACAGCATGAGCCGTAGTTGGTTTCGTGTGCATCAACATACAGCATGAGCCGTAGTTGGTTTCGTGTGTATCAACATACAGTATGAGCCGTAGTTGGTTTCGTGTGGATCAACATACAGCATGAGCCGTAGTTGGTTTCGTGTGCATCAACATACAGCATGAGCCGTAGTTGGTTTCGTGTGGATCAACATACAGCATGAGCCGTCGTTGGTTTCGTGTGGATCAACATACAGCATGAGCCGTAGTTGATTTCGTGTGCATCGACATACAGCATGAGCCGTAGTTGGTTTCGTGTGTATCAACATACAGCATGAGCCGTAGTTGATTTCGTGTGCATCAGCATACAGTATGAGCCGTAGTTGGTTTCGTGTGTATCAACATACAGCATGAGCCGTAGTTGATTTCGTGTGCATCAACATACAGCATGAGCCGTAGTTGATTTCGTGTGGATCAACATACAGCATGAGCCGTAGTTGATTTCGTGTGGATCAACATACAGCATGAGCCGTACTGTATAAGCAGAAATATTCGTCTGGAATTTAATTTCGTCTTTTTCGTCCAAGGAGCTTTTGGACTAAATTAAATGTAGGACGAATATCGATTTGTCCAGCGTTTCTATACACTCTTATGATCCATGGACGAAATTTTCAACCGGACGAACTCCTTTTCTTTGGAGTTGGACGAAATTATTGACCGACGAAATTTTCTGCCTCCACAGTAGTTGGTTTCGTGTGCATCAACATACAGCATGAGCCGTAGTTGGTTTCGTGTGGATCAACATACAGCATGAGCCGTAGTTGATTTCGTGTGGATCAACATACAGCATGAGCCGTAGTTGGTTTCGTGTGTATCAACATACAGTATGAGCCGTAGTTGGTTTCGTGTGGATCAACATACAGCATGAGCCGTAGTTGATTTCGTGTGCATCAACATACAGCATGAGCCGTAGTTGGTTTCGTGTGGATCAACATACAGCATGAGCCGTAGTTGGTTTCGTGTGGATCAACATACAGCATGAGCCGTAGTTGGTTGAATTGGATTGGCTTGTTTAATTTCTAAGAACTAATAGGCAGTGTTACCCTCTTATGAGATCGACTTCAGGCACTCAAATAGAAGGAAAGGGAAAAGACAAGCACCCACAACCACGCACACAACTTCACACGCAAATGCTGATCTACTCGACTACTCTAGGGCCACAATAAATGCCCGCTTCATGAATAACAAACTGGCAGATCTCGCGGATTTTCTTATCACATACCACCCCCTTGTCTGTCTCACAGAAACATAGCTATTCGCAAGCCAGCTTCTCACAGCATGAGCCGTTGTTGGTTTCGTGTGTATCAACATACAGCATGAGCCGTAGTTGATTTCGTGTGGATCAACATACAGCATGAGCCGTAGTTGGTTTCGTGTGGATCAACATACAGCATGAGCCGTAGTTGATTTCGTGTGGATCAACATACAGCATGAGCCGTAGTTGGTTTCGTGTGCATCAACATACAGCATGAGCCGTAGTTGGTTTCGTGTGGATCAACATACAGCATGAGCCGTAGTTGGTTTCGTGTGGATCAACATACAGCATGAGCCGTAGTTGATTTCGTGTGGATCAACATACAGCATGAGCCGTAGTTGGTTTCGTGTGGATCAACATACAGCATGAGCCGTAGTTGGTTTCGTGTGTATCAACATACAATGTACAGTATGAGCCGTAGTTGGTTTCGTGTGGATCAACATACAGCATGAGCCGTAGTTGATTTCGTGTGCATCAACATACAGCATGAGCCGTAGTTGGTTTCGTGTGGATCAACATACAGCATGAGCTGTAGTTGGTTTCGTGTGGATCAACATACAGCATGAGCCGTAGTTGGTTGAATTGGATTGGCTTGTTTAATTTCTAAGAACTAATAGGCAGTGTTACCCTCTTATGAGATCGACTTCAGGCACTCAAATAGAAGGAAAGGGAAAAGACAAGCACCCACAACCACGCACACAACTTCACACGCAAATGCTGATCTACTCGACTACTCTAGGGCCACAATAAATGCCCGCTTCATGAATAACAAACTGGCAGATCTCGCGGATTTTCTTATCACATACCACCCCCTTGTCTGTCTCACAGAAACATAGCTATTCGCAAGCCAGCTTCTCACAGCATGAGCCGTAGTTGGTTTCGTGTGTATCAACATACAGCATGAGCCGTAGTTGATTTCGTGTGGATCAACATACAGCATGAGCCGTAGTTGGTTTCGTGTGGATCAACATACAGCATGAGCCGTAGTTGATTTCGTGTGGATCAACATACAGCATGAGCCGTAGTTGGTTTCGTGTGCCTCAACATACAGCATGAGCCGTAGTTGGTTTCGTGTGGATCAACATACAGCATGAGCCGTAGTTGATTTCGTGTGGATCAACATACAGCATGAGCCGTAGTTGGTTTCGTGTGTATCAACATACAGCATGAGCCGTAGTTGATTTCGTGTGGATCAACATACAGCATGAGCCGTAGTTGGTTTCGTGTGGATCAACATACAGCATGAGCCGTAGTTGATTTCGTGTGGATCAACATACAGCATGAGCCGTAGTTGGTTTCGTGTGCCTCAACATACAGCATGAGCCGTAGTTGGTTTCGTGTGGATCAACATACAGCATGAGCCGTAGTTGATTTCGTGTGGATCAACATACAGCATGAGCCGTAGTTGGTTTCGTGTGTATCAACATACAGTATGAGCCGTAGTTGGTTTCGTGTGGATCAACATACAGCATGAGCCGTAGTTGATTTCGTGTGCATCAACATACAGCATGAGCCGTAGTTGGTTTCGTGTGGATCAACATACAGCATGAGCCGTAGTTGGTTTCGTGTGGATCAACATACAGCATGAGCCGTAGTTGGTTGAATTGGATTGGCTTGTTTAATTTCTAAGAACTAATAGGCAGTGTTACCCTCTTATGAGATCGACTTCAGGTACTCAAATAGAAGGAAAGGGAAAAGACAAGCACCCACAACCACGCACACAACTTCACACGCAAATGCTGATCTACTCGACTACTCTAGGGCCACAATAAATGCCCGCTTCATGAATAACAAACTGGCAGATCTCGCGGATTTTCTTATCACATACCACCCCCTTGTCTGTCTCACAGAAACATAGCTATTCGCAAGCCAGCTTCTCACAGTTCCTGGCTATGCCTGTTACCGCAGGGACCGGCCAACACAGGAAAACCGGCACAACAGGAATGATTTACGGGGTTACGGTGGGATTGCTAGTTTAGTCTGAACTGGAATATTTTTTGTTGTTGTGTCTATTTTAATTCGCAAACCAAACGGGCAGATATGCCCAATGAAAAGGTGGCGAATGCAGATGGAAAGCAGTAATTTATGAAATTGGGGAGGGTAATAAGGATAGAGGTGGAGAGAAACTAAACCGGCTGATCATCAAACAGGACGTTTGGTACTCTAGGTCCTAATGGTGTGCGGGATCATGCTGGCGCGGAACTGGCGGAGCGTGGATAAGGCACGTATATCGCTGGGTAAGGTGTTACACAGCTGGGCGCCTCGGAACGCGAGGCAACCCTTGCCGAACCTGGTGCAAACTGGCGGTTGGCGCAGACCCATGGTGGAGTGCAACCAAGTTGGGCCAGCTAACGAAGGAACTAGGAGGGCTTGCAGATCAGAACTTGCGTGCTCATTCCGAGACCTCCAGACAAGAACGATAAACTTCTGCCTGAATATCTCGGATACTCTGAATGTGTCCCATTTCCGCAAGAGGGTGCGCGCAGAGGTGTGATGTAAGAGTCCGAAAACCGCCCTTGCCGCCCAATTCTGCATGACCTGTAGCCGATCCAATTGGTTGGCAGTAAGAAGTGGGGAGAACGCATTTGATCCGTACATCAGGTCAGACATGATGATCGCTTGAAAGTAGAGAACTCGGCTCTGATGGGTCAAGCAGCGATGCAACCTCCATAGTGCTTCGATCCTCTGGGCCAGTCGAGCGGTGCAGCGATCAACATGAGGCGTCCATGACAAATCCGAGTCGAGGAGCACTCCAAGATACCTGGCCGCAGTAACGACAGGAATCGGCGTTTCATGACAGTTCACATTGACGGTGTGCTGGGGCTGCTGAGGCTGCCTGTTGGGGTATACAGGGATCACTTGGCTCTTGGTTGCATTCAAAATGAGACCACGGGTCTGCAACCAGTCAGCAAGTGCAGAAACAGAGGCAGATAGCGTAGCAGATACCGTTTACTACAGTCCGTCACCGGACTGACCTACACCTTCCCCATCTGGAGGCAACGTGGGTTGAACGTACCCTACCCTCCAACTCTCAGCTCACATAACTCTATTTAGGATCGGTGTATCGGCCGCCATCATTGACACACCGCCAAACCGATAATTTTTTTACTCAATTTCAATCCATCTTGCAACGCTTATCTATGCCCGACTCCATGCTTCTTGTCTCTGGGGACTTCAACGCTCGTTGCTCGGAATGGTATGGATCAACCACAACGCGGTTTGTCATCAACTGCTAAGCTTGCTTCAAATGCTCTCCCTATCACAGCTCGTCACCTTTCCCACACATTACTCCCAACACAGTGGTCATGCCAGTGCGTTAAACCTGCTTATACCCAGCAACCCAC